AAAAAAAAAAAAAAACCCCAAAAAGGCAGTTTTACGAAGGACGTTGTAGAAATCAGATATGTGGTTACACCAAACAAGTGAAGTCGGAAGAGTGATTAAGATAATCTGAGAGTGGCAAGTATGGGATAAGGTGGTGTCCCAGCTGACAGCAAAGATATTCTCGGAAACACCAAAGCTTTGCCAAGCATTTTTGTCTCTAAAACTACTGAGCTAGCACGCTAGGAGACGAAATGGACGTCCCAATCGCCAAAAGGCTAACCACCAGGCGATGCAGTAATGGTCAAAGCAGCTGGACACGTAACCAGCTGGATCGCTAAAGCAACAAACCAGGAGTAAGAGCTATTCCAAATATTTGTAAGCGTAGGCCACTCTTTGCCTTTCTTCAGTCTAAATTTTCAAAATCGTCATTTACAGGAAAAAAAGTGGGAAAAGATTTCAATGAAATTTAACTTTGAATGAAGGGAGATCCGCAGAATAATAGAAAAAATCTCTACACAGAAAAACGCCAAGAAAAAGGAAATCCAACGATAAAATTCGAAAAAAAAAAAAAGAAAAACTACCTTCCAGCAGCAGTTCTCTGCATTGAATGCTCGGAATCGTCAGATTCTGAACTGCTCGCTCGTGGAGTCCACTTGGTAGCGACCCGCCGCCTTTTACGCTTACTGCTGCTTGAGTCACTTTCCTCACTTTCATAAGTATCGCTTGGCTCAGAAGTTGAATCGTCGTCCGAAAGAGCCCTGCAGATACTGTTACTACAGCTTTTCTGTGGATAAAAAAAGATTGTCTTCAGATTTAGCAGTGGATATCTGTCCCCACATGCCCAATGAGAAGGCACTCTGTCGTTAAATCCCACTATCCTTCCTAGATAAGCTAAAGGACCACATAAACTACCGTGAGAATGCCACACGTCGATCATCATTTCTCTCTCGAAGAATAGAAGAAAAAAGCTAAAGTATATTGCTAATGTATAGTTCATTTAACTAAGCGAATTTTGTGAGATAAGAAACTGACCATCTTCCTCGTCTCTTTTTCCTCTTCGTTTTTTTATTTCTTGATTTCCGCAGTTTCTTCCGTGACGGTTCGTATTCACTTTCTGATCCAGAGACCACAAAATCGTCATCGCTCCGTGTTCTCCGGTATGGATAATTTCGTTTTGATGTCCTAAATCGTATATTTGTAAAAATTTTGAATTTTAACATCGCTGATAAGTGCACTGGCCTTTCAATTTTTTTAGTATTTTCTCCTTCGTACGTTTTTTAATATCATTCAAAAACCGTATGCTAAAGACGTAAGGCTATGGTAGAAAAATAAAACATATGAAACACAATAAACCGAAGCAGCCTAGTACCATTATAAATAGTATAAATAGCATCGCAAATAAATAGTATTATAAATAAAACTAAACTGAAATTAAATAAATTCGACAAATCGACAAGAACCACGTTAACAGAGGCTAACATTAGATCCATAAAAATATTATGAATAAAAATAAGTACGAAGAGGAAAATCAGGTTAACAGCAATAAAACAATCACTGAAAAGACGATGCAGAGGCGTCGGCAAACTGCAGCAAGTCAACTAACGCGCAGCCGTGATCTGTTCTGGTTTAAAAGACATACAACGGGGATATAGGACAAAAACAGAGACTGCGCTGTCCATGTGACAAGAATGAGAGATAACAGATGGAGGAAGGAAGGCACAAATGGTGCCCGTTATGTGTTAAAAGAATATTATAAAAGTGACAGATAAGATGGGTGGATTGTAAACTCGAATAAATAGAATTGCGCAGAAGCGAAAAGCACAAACAAGACTGCGATGGAGGAGATTTCTGCGGGTACAGGGCAAAAGCAGGCAGTGAATTAAAAACTGCTTCCGGGTGCTGAACGCGTGCATTTGAAATTTTTCTATAATTCAATCTGAGGCTGAACAGTTCGGGAAATTTCCTTCATGATAACGCATTTCGAACCTAGCAAATAATATTCAGTGTTTAGGAACTCAAAGCAAACTAAAACTCAAAGCAAACTAACTCAAAGCAACTTTTTCATCTTAATTAATTCTTATTTTTAACTAAATTATGTTATTACCACAGTCGTTGTACCGACGAGGTCCAACTGTGGTAACGGTAAGAAATGTATTCGACTTAATCGACCGAAACATTTCTTACCTAATTTAATACTACTTCTTTTTTACATCTTCCCTTTCTTACCTTTTTTACCTTTTCTATCATCCTTTCTTACATTTTTCAACAAAATTTTCATTCAACCTAAAAGGAACTGGAAAAATGGCATGACTCTGTGACAAAAAATTAGAGAAATATCAAAATGCCATAAAGTTCTAAACAACAAAGTCAGGTATACTTCTTGATTCGAGAAGTCCATGCCCCTCTTCTTCTTTTCCCACAATTTTCAATTTTTTAGTACCTTAACCTTGAAATTAACGTCCCCCGTTTGAATTCTGCGCTTTTGAAGTGATCTGGCAATCTTTTACTTAATTCTATCTTCATACTCTCAAGTTCACATCAAAAACAACACCTTCCTGTCTAAATTTCATGTTCTCCTGAGGCCAAAACGTCATATTAAAACTTCATAAGATGCAACTGCCGGATGCTAGAAGTGTCAAATTTTACCTCCTTAATGAGGCATCTGATGGAACGTATTCATCGGTGTCATCCGTTGGATCGGAAACGGGCGCATCACTGGAAAAATGAACATTTGTCTTGATGGTCGCAAGAACTGTGAGACTATTTTACCATTCAAATTTACTATTTTTGACATCAGGCATTGCCCTTTTCCTGTCACCAGCTATTTCGACGAAAGCTTGTTGTGAGTTCGTACAATAAATAGCCCTAGGGCGGAAACTCCTGTCAAAAATCGCTCAGCGCTTGGCTGTATCGCAGTGAACACTAAATGATTGTGAGGTACTGGCGAAGAAAACCACCCACTCATCTCCCCACAGCTATGCAGAACACACTCTAGCAGATACAACACTCGCCTCAATACTTAACAAATAATCAAAAATACTTACTCGCTGACTTGATATTCATCAGTGTCAGATTCGCTCATTCCATCCACGTCGAGATCGTTCAATCGATGACGCGATCGCGCCGGCTTTCCCACTTTTCTCTCCGGCACTCTAAATATGGAAAAGGTATCAGAATTAACAAATAGCAGCGTGCACCAGACTAGCCGGTACGATCATGCGTTTTGTGCAATTCAGCCCATCGAACGATTGCCTATTAA